ATGAATATTTGGATAAAAATTGGTGTCTGGGAGCTTTTTGATATGAGAAATTTGATTTTGATGTCAATATGACTCCTATTTGTAGGGGGCGCCACCTACATGTGTTTTAACTGTTTTGAAGAGTAATAACTTTTCGTCCGTACCTGTATAAAACTACTGAGTGAAAAATATACATTTCCGTAATTTTATACGTAAAAATCGCTACGAGCAACCGTTCTCAATATATTTAAAATGGAAATCGTCAATACATGTCATTATTGATAAAACTATTGACAAACAAAAAATAAACATGTTGAGTAGATAGTGTTATTCGAATGAAATGATAAATTTGTGAACTTCCAAAATGTAAAATCCAAAATTTTTCCTCGAAAAAATAATGATAAAACAGTTTCTGTTGAACTTTTGACACAAAATCATTTCTAATTTCTGATTTCAGACTAATAACTATTTAGTCAACATGTTTAATTTATGTCAATGATTACAGGTATTGATAATTTCGATTCCAAATATCTCGAGAAGCATTACTCGAAGCGGTTTTTACCGAGCGACCTTTTTTACGTAAAAAACGTCTTAAATGTATATTTTTTTACTCAGTAGTTTTATACAGGTACGGACAAAAAGTTATTACTCTTCAAACCAGTTTAAACATATCTAGTTGGCGCCCTCTACAAGTAGGGGTCATATTGCAATCAAAATCAAATTTCCCATGTCAAAAAACTCACAGACACCAATTTTCATCCAAATATTGACTTTAGTTAGACGGAAATTATTTGAAAAAAATCGAAATAAAAATTAAACTTCTACACCCTGTATCTCAGAAACTAAGCATTTTAGAACATAAATTTATACGAACTTTTTTATTTATTTTTATCTGCAGAATATGCCGCCGAATTCTCATTCCAAGTTACGGATGGATATGATACTCTACTAAATAAAATACTTTATTTTCAAGTGCACTGTTTAGATTTATAATATAATTATGGTGCCCTGCAAGCGCCCAAGCATTATAATTATTACAGAAATAAAGATGTCTAATATTGATACGGTCACTATAAATAATGTTGATGGATAATTGATTAATTACATTCTATGTTTTTGATGAGCTTTTCTTTTTCACATCATTTAAATTTAAAATAGTTTATTTCGTCGCGTAACGCAGTATGAAATAGCATATTCATAACTCATATAACGTCGGCCAAATATATTAGAATAATACAGTTAGTAAGAAAACCGTGGTACATAAGCTCCATGCGAGACTCGTTTGCCAGACGGCCTATACGCATTTTAATTATACATCACGTTACACGATACATTCGTTCGAAAATGTCATCATTTACATTATTAGCATAGCGTATGGACGAATTGTGGCGCCAAGGAGACACGGCGGGCGCCATTCGACTTTTCACTCGGCGCTCGGCGAGCGGCGAAATTGTATAAAAAGCAAATATCAAAGCGGTCACTTTGGCATAAATAAACGAAACGGTGCGAACCAATGGACGCAAGGTCGCTTTGTGTTGTTCCTCTATGCCTTTGTCTAGCGGTTCCATCGAGCTAATTTTCGAATGCTTTAAAAATTAAAATGTCTGTGTTTTCAGAAATAGCACGAGTTACAAAATGGTTTTTGAGGCTTTATTACTAAAATAAATTACTCTGATCAACACGCAAAAACTTGAATAAAAATCATTGTCTACAACATTTAAAGAAGCACAAAATATTAACCCTTTATAGGTCTTAGTATGTAAAGTATATATAAAAGTATTTAAATTTTTTATACATTGCCTGAGCATATGTAGGTTAATTCAGAGCACTTTTTAAAAAATATAGAGTTCTACAGGGTGTCCCCAAAAAAAGTTACACATCAAAGTTGTATTTTTTGTAATGGAACACCCTATATATTAACTGATTTTTGGATTCTAGGAGAAACATAAAGGTGAGTTTTATTAAGGAAGTATATAACTGTAAGGTTTTTGACTTATTTAAAAAATTTTAAAAATGAAGAACAGTTTCTTGAAATTTCAATCAAAACTACCTGATTTGGAATTTACCAGGTATAGCATAATATGTAGCTAAAATAACTATTGTACTTTAAATAAAATCAAAACCTAACCCAAAAAGTTATACAGGGTGAGGCAAAATTAATGTTGAACATTGATTACCTTTAAAAGCAAGTTACTTCTTTAGTTTAAATGGAACACCCAGTATATTATTCCGATATTCAATAGGTAATTTATGTCTCTTCAAAATACTATTAAGGTTGTCTATCCCTCAAACAAAGACTTTCCTAGATATTTTCATTTTTATGATTTAGTGTGAGTAGATATTTTTTATTATTTGATAAAATCTAGTGGTGGGGCTGTGATATGTCTGACGTTACTTTAACATAGTTGTCTAATTAGTTCAACTGTAGCAATTAGTTATCATTTTGTGTCAGATAAAACAAAAAAAAATCTCAGAAATTTTCCGAAAATGGAAACTTATCTTACATCAGAGAGCACTGATATGACTCTATTAGTTTCATTCACCAATTAATAGAATACTTAAATGCTCTTGATTTTATCTAGTCTGGGCTTTTTTTATATGGAACAACATGAGAGAAATGATTGTAACTTCTTTTCGAAATAGAACTCCACATATGCCTTTTAAAATAAAAAGATCTTTTAAAAAGACAATCATTTTATGCAGTTAACAGGAAAGGAAGCTTTAATTCTGTGATAATTAAAATATGTTTTAAACGTGTATCTTTTTATTACAGTATTTTACACTACATCCTTCAATTTGTGTTAAGACAGCCATCTATTTGTTTTATATTCTATTTATTCTATTTTATTTTTTACCATTTATTCATTGAACACCGGAATAATATACTGGGTGTTCCATTTAAAATAAAGGAATAACTTGCTTTTAAAAGTGACCAATGTTCAATATTAGTTTTGTCTCACCCTGTATAACTTTTGGAGTCAAATTTTAATTTGGTTTAACATACAATGGTTGTTGTAATTAAATATCATGCTATACAAGGTAAATTGCAATTTATATAGCTGTTATTGAAATTAAAATTTTATTTATTGTTTTCACAAAATGTGAAATATGTCAAAATCCTTACATTTTAGGCATATGTTTCTTTAATAAAATTCACCTTTATTTTATTCCTAGAATCCAAAAATCAATGAATATATAGGGTGTTCCATTACAAAGAACATAAGTTTGATGTATAACTTTTTTGGGGACACCCTGTAGAACTCTCTATATTTTTAAAAAGTGCTCTGAATTAACCTACATATGCCCACAAAACCTTTTCACTAGTGAAATAAAAAAGTGGGTTTCCATTTGAAAAAATTATTTATGATAATTTTTTAATCGCTCAATGCCATGACAGCTACGGCCAATATTACACACACCGGAAAAATCTAGGGATATCATTTTATTAAAGTTAAAAATAAATGTTTTGAATAAACAACCACATATTTGTAGGCCGATTCTTTCTACTTCGATTGAAACGAAGTAGTCACACTAGTTATTTCTAAATTTGGGATATTTGCAGAAGTGTTTGTGCATTTTTTGCCAAGTGTATAAAAAGCACCTAGCATCAATTGTTCGAATTTAACCTGTACTGGCTATGTTTTTATGATAACTGGCCAAAATTCACTCAAATAACTCTGTTTAGTATTAAACGACATTATGGAGCGTAGACATCGTAACAGAGACGAAATACTAAGGGCCATGGGTATATGCTTGAAGCTGGAATGCGCCAAATCGACGTAGCTAGAGCATTAAATACAACGCAAAGTGTAATATCGCGATTAAGAGCACGCTACCGTGAAAGTGGTGATGTTGCTGAAAGGCACAGAGGGCGACATCGCATTACTACCCCTCAGCAAGATCATTTTTTACAATTAAATGCTCGACGCCGACCGACTCTTACAGCACCAGAGCTTAGTTTAGTTCTCCAGGAAACACATAATGTAACCGTTAGTCCTGACACTGTTCGCAATAGATTAAGAGAGGTCAACTTAAGAAGCAGACGACCCTGGAGAGCTCAACCCTTAACGAGAGGAAATCGAGAGGTACGATATTTGTGGGCTCAAGATCATGTTCAGTGGTCGAATGGACAATGGGCCAATGTTCTCTTCACGGATGAGTCACGCTTTGGAATTCATCCGGATTCGAGAAGGTTTAGGGTAAGGAGAGAACTGGGAAATTTTATTCGGTTGGATCATGTTCAGGAAGTGCACCCTTATCAAGGTGGAACAGTTATGGTCTGGGGAGGAGTCCAGTTAGGCCGAAAAACCGATCTCGTTTTTCTTGAAAGGTTTCTAACAAGAACCAAATATCGTGATTTAATTCTTGAGCCTGTCGTGTTACCATATGCCAATGATTTTGGGAGAAACTTCATTCTCATGCATGACAATGCACGGCCTCATACAGCCAGAGTGGTAAGTGAGTTTATCAATGCTCATCAATTAAACATCTTACCCTGGCCGGCACAATCTCCTGACCTTAACCCCATCGAGCACGTATGGGACGCGGTCCAAAGAAGAATTTTGAGAATGGGTATGCCTCGTGAAACTCGTAGGGATCTTGTTCGAGCCGTGAATGCAGCGTGGCAGGCTGTACCTCAAGAAGAGATCGACAACCTGAGCAGGAGCATGGAGAGACGATGTAGGGCTGTAATGAACAGTAGAGGAGGCCATACTCTTTATTAAGTAAAAATGGTTTTATCTTTTTTTATAATTCACAGTTTAGAATTTAAAAAAATGTGTATATTTTTTTGAGTTCAATAAAAATCAAGGTAAATTTGAAAAATTCGGTAAATTTCGCATTTTTATTTCCAATACGTCCTGTAAACTATTTGTTTATTTTAATTTTATTATATCAGAAATGCAAATAATAAAATTACTGATGATGGCTGGATAAAATTGTAATATCCCTAGACTTTTCCGGTGTGTGTATATGACATAAAAAGCATTTTTCCGAAAATAATGATATATTTCCTCTTTCAGACTGATGTCTCCAAATAGTTCGCCGGCAACTTCTCCCACGATGTCGACGTCATCATCGCCTACGCCTCCTCCGACCAACTCGAACCCCGCCATTTCCGTCGCGGCCGCCGCTAGTTACGGCAAAATGACGGGGATTCCCTGCGTGGCGGCCGCATCCAGGTACACAGCCCCGGTTCATATAGACGTCGGCGGAACTATATACACATCCTCGTTAGAGACGTTGACGAAGTGAGTAGTTTCCTTTCCAGAACATATTATGATTAAAATGTAATAAAAGGGACGATGCGTTCGGTTTGAAGATTGTAGGTTATAGGGGAGAGGGGAAGTTAATCACCGCGACCTTTTAGATCTATTCGTGTAAAAAGCCAGTATCCAAGACGGTTTTAGAGGGGTTAGTTCTCCATCTCCGATATCAGTCTTACCAAAGTTTATGTTACGAATGGTTGTCGTCCGGGTGCACTCCGTGATGAGGTGTTCTGGTGTTTCCCCATTTTCCCCACAGCATCTGCATTCGCAGTTGTTTCATAGCGTCAATCTAGTAAGGTTTTCTTCGAAAGTGTCCTGTTAAAAATCCCGTGACAATCCGAAAGTTGTTCTTACTTAAATCAAGGAAAATCTTTGATTTTTCTCGATCATAAGTTTTGAGAAATCTCTTCGGGTGTCTTAGACCTTTGGAGGATTCCCATTCGAGGTTACGGATGGAATTTTCCTGGTTTTTGAGTTTCGCTTTAAGTTGGTTTCCACTTGGGAAGGAGAACTGTTCAAGTTCAGTTTTTTAAAGAGTGTTCGCACCTTTTCCAGCTAGATCGTGTGCTTTTCATTGCCTTCTATCCTTTTGGTGGCTATCTATAGTAGGAGTTTATTTTCTTTTCCTAATTTGTTCGGCTTCTCTAGATATTCTTTAACCAACCTCAAATTGATGGTTACTGAACTGATCGCTTTTAATGCTGCTTGACTATCGGATAAGATGGCTATTTCTTCTTTCCGATAGTTCCTAAGATAACTGTATGCATCTTTTCATATAGATTTCTGCCTGAAGAGTGCCCATTGGTTCGGAGTATTTAGTTTTCTGCTCAAATACGGCTACAATAATATCCCTGTTCCTACTGGTTTTTGGAGGCATCAGTATACCACGTTATGGTATGGTCTTTTACCTGCTGAGCAAACGTTTCTTTTTTATTCCAATAAAGGAACACATACAGGATGTTTCAAAAAACATGTGCCATCTCTCGTGGGGAGATTCCTCAAATAAGATTTACTAGAAGAAAGTAAGATTTATTTTTCATATCAACATAGGTCCGATTCTGCTTTGTTTCGTAGCTACAAGGTGTTAAAGTCTTAATAATCACCGTCAATAAATTTTTACCCTCAAAATTTCATACGAAACGCTAAAAGTACTTGATAAGGATTATAATAAATCGAAAAAATATTAAGAGTTTAACACTCTGTAGCTACGAAACAAAGCAGAATCGCCTATATTGAAATGAAAAATAAATCTTATTTTTTTACGTGAGGAATGAAAATCTCCCAAAGGTCTAAGACACTCGAAGAAATTTCTCAGAAATTACGACCAAGAAATATCAAAAACATTTTTTTTTAATTTAAGTAAGAACAATTTTCGGATTAAAACCTAGAATAAATAAGAAACAACGACGAATGCAGATTATGTGGGGAAAATAGGGAAACGCTAGAATACCTAATCACTCCGCAACTAGCATATCTAGTGGCAGATACGTAACTGCTACTATCGAAGACACTACAAAGTGGGCGGTGACCATCGGCAGCTACGTCGTATATTCGTAGCTGCTAAGTAACTGCGACCAAAATGGGGAAAGATTTTGAGTAGCCGGGTAGTGTCTTGGCTACTTTAGGTAGTGTCTTGGTTAGCCACTAAAAGAGTTACTATGATGTGTTACTATAAAATAGCCTACTGGTGAATGGGACTTATCTGTTACGAAGCTGCCTAGTCCCGGGTTCGTGGCAGCCAAGTGTTATCCACCGACATGTGGAACTTTCGTTAAACCTCGCAGCGACCTCTTCATACAATTTCACATTTCATAAAAATAATGGAATGATGGAAAATAATTATGGAATTTTTATTATTACTATTCAGTTATTTACCGTCCGATTTTAACGCCTTTTTTAGGTAAATTCCAGAACGCAATCAACTTTACTGAATAAAATAGTGGGTTTATAGGAAAAAATTTTCGAGCGCCTCTCAAATTATTTCAAATTATTATATTATTTGCAATAGAAACTCATGTAGTAATTAAAAAATAATAATAATTTGCTTGAAACCGGGGTCAAACTTTTAAAATATTAGTTCACCGTTAGAAATGACAAAATAACTAAGGAAAAAAGCTTTAATCTAGGTATATTCAGCTTGAAAACGCATAATGTTTGAGCCATTTGGCTGTTCGTCTAAAAAGACACGAAAAAAATATGGCCGCTTAATCCGAAAAATACTTTATAGTTGCATAAGCTTCCACAAAGTACCGGGAACAATAACATATTATGCCAACCCTACCTGTTTGGACCTTTAAAATCTTCGGATATAAAGTGACAATTGTAGCTACCCAAAGGCGACTTTATAGAAACAATAACTTTTTTGGAACTACATGGTCAACGATTCTTTGGAACCATAAAGTGATTTTTTCCAAGAAAGTTCCCTGCGCCACCAAATTGGCACTTAATTGGAGCGTATGCTACACCGATAGCGGCGGTGGCGACTATACACTCCATTGGTGCCACTATAACGTTCCGCCTTGTCCTTTGAAGTTATTTTTTACTTATTGTGCATTGTCTATTATTAGTGTTTTTATATTATTCAGAGCTATATGAGGTATATATAGAGTATTTTAACGCCCACTCTTTTAGCTCTTGTTTTATATTGTTGCTGGTTCTCAAATTAGTTTTCCTCTGAGATTCTGTTTCAGATGAACTAACACTACACTCATCTACAGAAACAGCTTCAAAAATATCTCAGTCACTACCTGATTTATGAAGTTCATCAGTAGGATTATAGAAAGATGTAGTTTTTGTTTCTGATGTTGATGCATCGGCTCGCAGTGATTCCTTTTGTTTAATTCTTCGGTAGAAAGTACTAGAATATCAAAATTTCTTTTTATTCACCTTAGGCATTTTACAAAATTTTAATAAAGCTTAAAAACAAGTAACACACACGATGCAATCTGAGGCAATTACATTTATTAGGGTATATTAAGTTACGGTCACTATAAAGTAGCCGTTTTTGACCCCCGTGACTTTTTAGTGGCAATGGATGAGCGACGGCTACTTTATAGTAACCTAGGAAGGTAGCAGTAACCATTTAGCTACCTTCAATGCTACTATAAATTAGAAGTAACTAGGTGTCGTGGTCGCGACTACCCCGTAACTTAAATTGTTTGCAATCGGGTAAAAAAACACAATAGATCTACAAGTTCGATTAACTTCTTCCATCCATACAATCTACAATCTAGTCTAGTTAATAAAACTCGTGTACTTTCTGATAAAGTTTATTCCAAGACGCCCTTTTTTACATATATAGTTATAATATTGTACAATACATTGGTAACTGATGAATCTTCGGACAAAACATACATTCCCTAGCTTGGACTCTAGTAATTCTAGCCTCCTCCTCTATTTCAGTATACGGTACATTGCTAAACGCACCCAGAATATTTTGTAATTCCTTCTTACTTATATCTTCTTTAGCTACTTCAGCGGGTGTTATTTCATTTTTAGCCCGTTGTTTTTCGATGTCAATAATTTTCGCCTGTAGAGTAGTGTACTCCTCTGCAATCTCCTTTTTCGAACACTCCAACACATATTGCAGTTCCTGCAGAAGCCGAAATCTTTCGTCTTCTAAGTTTAACATTTGATAACGTAAGTCCTCATAAAGCCTTATAATTTGGCTTGTTGGCAGGTTGTCGACAGTTGCTGAAATTTCATTGCCGGTATCTTTTTTAAGCGATTCGAAGTTTTCGGGAACTTGCGCGTTTCTTATTGCAATAAGTAGTTCGGCTTTTTTCTTTTCTAGGCTAAATATTTTTCTTCTCAAACGGAACCGTTCGTCACTAATGTATTGTTCTTTAGGATTGAGATACTGGAAATTTAATATGTATTTCAACCATTCTGCATCTCTGGATTCTGGATGTAAAAGAAGAAACTTTATTTCGGAATGTTCACTTTTCAAAACTTCTATTTCTTTATCTTGAATGTTAATTAGTTTTTCTAAATTATGAATTTTTTGACTCGTGTTATCACCATCTTGGTTATTTTCAGAAGATAATATCTTTAAATCTTGCCTGATATTTTCTTTTTCATTTTCAATCACTTGAAGGCTTTCTTGAATAAATTCGTTTTCCGAAATGTTTGAGACATTTTGAGTTAATGTAAATGCTTTATCCAGAAGTTTCTTAAAATTTGAATTTTGTTCACATAATACTTGAATACGCTTTTTCGTTTTCACTATCTCATTTTGAATTTCCATCGCTCCATAATTTTCTGACAAAAAATTTAGAAAAACTGTCAGTTTTATTTGTCACTGTCATCAAAATTTTTAGTCCATTTAAATATTTAAAATTGAATGTTTTAGAAATATGTCTGATATAATAAAAAGAAAAATTCAAAAGCTGGAAAAACAAAATATTAAATTTAAAAAGCTACTAGAATCAACACTACAAATTGCAAGTGAAGAAACTACTGAATATTTAAAATTAAAAGGAGAGTCGATATTTTTAAAGCGAACTGTATGCGAATTAGAAAATCAGAAAAAACAACTTGAAGAAGAGCTTCATATATATTTGTCCGATAACCCATCGTCAAACACCCCAGAGAGTGAAGATTTAAATAAAAAAAATGTAGACGTTAAGCACACATTAAATAATATCATGAAGGATGTTGAGAATGAATTAAAAGATGTTGAGCGACTAAAAGTAGAAGACAGTTATTTGAAAGAAGTTATTTTAAATTTAGAACACGAGAAAGAAAAACTTTTATTGGACATTCAAATGATAAAACAAGCAACTGAAGAAAATAATCATTTAGCTGAGGAAAATATAAAATTAAGAAACGAACTGGCCCAAATCCAACAGAATATAACTGATGACGGTTCAACACTTACATCCGGTAGTGGACAAGATCTAGTAAACAAACTAGCTGATATAGAAAAATCAATATCAACTATAGAAGAGGATATAAAACAATCGACAACTATGTTTAAAAGTCCATTAAATGTACCAACTGAAAATACAGTTTTAGAATTAAGACTGTCGTGCTTAAAGAAACAGAAAGACAAAATGTTAAACGAACTTAGAACGAAATTGCTTATCTCTGCTGATGAAGTTAGTAGACTTCATAGCAATACATCAGATAATCAGCTAAAAGGATTACTAAATGAACTAGAAATACACAAAACAATTTTGATGCTTAATTTAGGAAACTTAAAAGGTCTAACACATAGTGACAAAAAGGATATGGTAGATGATGAGACCTCCAATTCAGGTGATCAGTGCATAGAAAACTGTTGCTTATCGTGCTCTCCCGATGCAGAAGAGGGCATTACTATTAAACCAGCAGATAAAGATACAGATGCGTCATCTTCTAATCAACTTGATTCGACTTCTTTATCGAATTCGACTGAAAAATGCACATCAGACCTCAATCCTTTCAATCAAATTCCAGAATCAATTGACTCACTTCCAAGCCGCAGTTCAGAAATAATACAAGAAATTATCGTATTTCGTGATTGTACCCAAATGTCTGATAACAGCCTCAGTGTTATTTCTGAAAATGAAATTATTAGCTCTGAACATGAAAGTCACGAATTACCAACAGTTGCAGAGGAGGAGGAGATTCAAAACGATGTGTTTGCTGAGCATCAACTACTTAAAGATGAATATGAACGATTAGTGGAGGAAAAGAAAATGCTGAAGGAACAAATAGACATTTACGCTGTTTTAAACAAAACTCGCTGGGACGCTATACCGGATACGTCGTCAAATTTACAAGCAGAACCTGTAGCACAAATAGAAATCGGAGATTCAATAAACCTTGCTCCTCAAGCTGCATTAGATGACGCAACAAACGAGATGTTTAAAACCGACGAGCAAAGACTGGAACAACGCATTAAGGAATTGGAAGAAGATAACCGCCGAATTCAAGGAGACTTAGATTTTCTATTGGGGGAGAGTCACAGTGACAATGAAGATAACGAAATTTTAGAAACGGGAGAAAAACTAATTAGAGAAAATAAACCAGCTTCTGATGAAAAAAATAAAGAAATAACTGAAGATTAAATATATGCATAATTATTTATTAAACATTTTTTTCTGGTTTACAATAAATGTTTAATTTTTCTAAAATGCTGTTTAATTTTGATATTTATCCAAATTTCTCATATGTTTTCTTATGAATTGATGGGCTTTACTAAAGGGAATACCTTAACTAAACATTAACTATCTATTATAAAACTAATTTTGCTATTTTTGGAAATAAAACAGTGAATTTTATCATATTCCAGAAATTGGGACATAACTGTAAAAGGGGAATTTTAATTATTAATAATTATTAAGTAAATTAATATTATCTACCGGCAACAAGTATAACTGACTTTCTACTAATATTATATTAAACTCATTCCAATGTTTACTGTTTCATCCATTTGACAATAACTACTCAATACGTGTTCTAGACTAGATGTTCTGTTGCTACGCCTCCAATAGTTCATTTTAAGTACAAGTAGTTTTTCTTTTGTCATTGGTCGTTCTTTATCATTGGAACAACACTTATGGAGGAGGTAAATAATTTTACTTACTTGGATAGTATAATCTCAACCAACGGAGGCACAGAGTAAGATAACATATACAGAATAAACAAGGCCAGAATAACATTTGGAATCCTTAACAATATTTGGAAATCTAAACAGTGCTATCTATATTTGCACTACTATATTTGTTTCGTAGACTATAAAAAAGCTTTGGATAGAGTCAGATGGCATCACCTGTGGAAAATCTTAAAGAAAGTGGGGGTACCGCAACACCTATTTCACTTATCATCCAGTTGTATCAGCACACTACAGGATCAGTTAGAATACTGGAGTCAGCTTCAAAGGAATTTTCCCTTGAACAAGGAGTCAGACAGGGGTGTATATTGTCTCCTCAACTATTTAACATATATGGAGAATACATCATGAGAAGGTCGCTAGAAACATGGGAAGGAGCTATTTCAATAAATAGCCAAAAATAAATAATCTACGCTTTGCAGATGATACAGCACTACTCGCTAGCAGTCAAGAAGAGTTAATCAATTTAGTAAACAGGGTAGAAAACGAAAGCAATCGGCTCGGTCTGGAACTAAATACACAAAAAAACAAAATCATGATAGTTGATAGACAACATAACAACCATCCAAATATAAGTCATATCGACCGCTTTGAAGTCGTTAAGTCATACGTATACCTGGGATCACTATTGACAAATACAGGCACATCGGAAGAAGAGGTGAAGCGTAGGTGCAACATAGCAAAGGTAGCTGTTGGGAGACTGACCAAGATCTGGAAAGACCGCCAGATTTCAAGAGCCATCAAAAACCGACTAGTCAACTGTTTGGTATTCCCAATATTGACGTATGACTGTGGACTCTCAGGCAGGCGGAACGTAAGAAGATCGATGCTACCGAGACTGATGGACTGAACGCCGTACAAACGTTTCGGTACAAAAATAAATGAACTTAGTATTACCAACAGGTAAAATCCTGTAAAACCATGGTTTCCTGTAAAATCCGACTAAAACAACTAAAATAGTTTGGACATATAATGAGGAAAAGTCCGGAAAATATAGAAAGACTCATAGTTCAAGGCAAGGTGGAGGGACGTAGACCGCGTGGCCGCTCTCCGACTCGATGGATAGACCAGATCACGACTAGCTGTAGGAAGCCAATGCACGATGTCATCGAGATGACAAAAAACAGAGGCGCATGGAGAAAAATCATCCATGATGTTACGCTGACCACTACACTCCCTAATAGGGGTCAGGACTGAAGAGAGAGAAACAGTACTATCAACTTACCAAACATAAAATTCTCAATTGAAATGTCAAGCCAGTATTATTGCTGTATAATAATGCAGAGACCTGGAAAATTACATCGCCGTTAATTAATAATCGCCAAGTGTTCATAAACCGCTGTCTGCGAAAAGTCATAGAAATATTCTGGCTAAACACTATCAGAAATGAGGATTTATGAAGCTTAACCAACCAGAGGCAGGTGTATAATCCAACTAAACTGAGGAAATAAAGGTGGATTGGTCACACATTAAGCCGAAGCGGCAATAACATCGCTAGATCTATTGAGTGGAACCCGCAAGGCAGTAGTAGAGCTGGTCGCCCAAGACACACATGGCAAAGAAGAGTTAAAAGGAGATCAAAACAGTGAACCGATCATGGCGAGATATCCAATCAGTTGTAAATAACCGAACCCGCTGGAGAGCATTTATTAAAGCCCAATGCTCAACGTAGTTGTAAAAGACAAAATGAATGTAAATATAATATTAATCGAAATGATAACTTTGATGCTTGCTTCATCCACGTTACTGTAGATGGAGCTAAGAAGGCTTAGGTAGGGTATATATAAAAATAAATAAATGATAACTGTTTAACGTTTCTGGAACAATTATCTTTATTTTTTAAGCGATCACTTCTGCTTTTATTTTTCTTATAATAAGCAATTGCTTACTGGTTAATTTCAGTAACACAGATTTAGACGTTTCTAAACATATTTTCCATTTTGTTTCAGATATCCGGAATCGCGACTGGCGAAGCTATTTAACGGTAGCATACCTATTGTGTTGGATTCCTTAAAACAACACTATTTTATAGACAGAGATGGAGGAATGTTTAGGCATATTCTAAACTTTATGAGGAATTCGAAACTTCTAATTCCAGAAAATTTTCACGACTTAGACTTGCTATTAGAAGAAGCCAAATATTTCGACATACCTCGTAAGTAAATTATTAATATCTTCATTTTTATTTTATACCTGCCACAAGACGCTCTCAAGTCATGTGTGATCACGTCATGCGAAGAAAAACATCTCCAAACTGATTAAATAAAAATACGGTTTAATATTATGGGTGTTAATTTTGTATTATTAGAGAATTAGTAAAACAGTTACCATTATAATTGTTTGTTTACAGCTATGGTTCGCCAGTTAGAACAAATGAAAAAAGATCGAATAAAAAATGGGAATATGGCATCACCTTCGGACTTGACATCACTGTTAAAAAGTACTACTAGGCAGCAAGGTGGACCCTTGGAAAGAAGTATGCGGTCGTCATCAGGGCAAGACATGTACGAATGCGTGGCGTTGCACGTGAGTCCTGATTTAGGGGAAAGAATTATGCTTAGTGGTGATCGAAATCTTCTAGACGAGGTTAGTAAAAACGCTGATTAAAAATAGTAAAAAATTGTTTTAAAAAAGAATACAAAAATTTACAGACCCTTATTCTTACAAAGATACAATGAATGATATCGATGAATTTATATCAAAAATATGATTAATGCATTTACAGTATATCCCCGGATCGTCTTTACAATAGAAAATCCTTTTTTAATATAACCATTTTGAGAAAACTGCGTATTCTGTTTTTTCTTAAGGTGCTCTGCAGATTCCTGCGTAGGCGTTCATCTTTTTCTTTCTCATCAGATGGTTTTATTAGTTGCTGGAAGTCCGACGACTTGGCGTGCTTGGAAGTCCTGTATGCCTGTCCTTTGACGAGTATATCTCAACCAGGACAGCTTTCTTCAGCCTATTCCCCTTTTACCTCTTTCCATTTTACTCGTCTAGTTTCTATGACACTGAAAATGAGAGCGTTCTCCACGTAGTATATGTCCCAAATAAGCTATTTTTCTCTTCTTGGTAATTTCGAAGAGTTAACGTTCTTCTAGACCAGCTCTTCTGAGAATGTCTTCAATTCTTACACGATCGACCCAGGACACCGTAGGGTCCACATTTAGAACGCTGCAATTTTGTTTATAGTTGTTACGTTCAGTGTCCATTCTTCCACACCATATAGCCAGAACGGACCAGACATAGCACTTATATCACACGATTATCTATCTAAGGCCGAAGTTCTAATTCCTACATCTGTGAGAAACCTTCGAAGTTTTAAGAAAGTTGTTCTAGCTTATTCGATCCTACATTTTATCTCCTGATCTGGATCCCAGGTTTTGTTAATCATATATCCAAAGCATTTAAATTGTGTGACTTGATGTTCGGAATATTGTTTGTACTAACAGCCATAAATTTAGTTTTTCTGATATTAATTTTTGGACCCAGTCTTTGGCTTTCGTCGTTGATATTAACTGTCTACCAAAATCACGGTGTCATCCGATTTGTTTGTTCTAAAGTGGCTAAACGATTTTGTAATAGAATTATTGACAAAACCGTCGCAAAATATTGATTATTATAGTAGAAATATGAGTAACAACATGGAAATTCGTAAAATATAAGTTTCATATTCTGTAATTAGCGCTTGCTGTTGAATGGAGTACATTAAATAAATAAATTAATTAAATAAATATTTTATAGGTATTTCCTGAAACAAACCAGGCAGTAATGGATGCCAGGACAGGAGCAGCGTGGAATCAACAGGACGCTCATCACGTAATTAGATTTCCTTTAAATGGTAAGTACTTCTTACCATTAAGATTGAAAAAACGATATTCTTTGTTTTTGATAAAAGTTAAATATTTCTATTATTGTACTGTGCCTCAATATATTAACACGTTTTTATTAGTTTTACCGTTTTACCTGTATGTATATATTACAGGCGAACGAAGATTGAACGAGTTGTTCATTTGAACGAGTATTAAAAATGAATCGTAAAATTGGATTCACCTCTTATGGTGCGTTTAGACTTGAACACGCACGCACTGATCCTCCGCGAATACTCAAGTGTAAACGGCTGTGCGCGCACGCTGATTCTGAATCTGTCTGTGCGCGAGCAGCCGCGAACGTGAGCCGTCTGGTGTCGGTTTTTGGTCCGCGCTCAAAGGGATTTTATATGTGCGCGGACGCTCAGTTTGCACCGGCTATTTGTTTTGTTTGCGTTCGTGCGTGCGTGTGTGATTTTTTTTTCGTTTTTTTTATTAAAATTATGGAGTGGATCAATGAATCTTCGTTATTATTATACTTGAAGAATATGAAAAGTTGCCTATATTATGGGATGTTAAACATTCTTTGTATTATTAAAAAATAAAAAAACGCATGGCAAGATCTTGTAAATAAAATTAATATTGAATATGTCGATATTAATAAAATTGCTATTCTAAAATTTGTATCTTTTGTTCGTAATTTTTGGTGTTATTAAATTTTGTAAATATTCAAAGTCGGGTCTGGTCATTCTTGTAAAGTTTTTGAACTGATCATAGCCCCCCTCAGACACGAAGTTGTTGCAGTAAATTATATCGATTTCTAAAAATTTGGGTTTGCCACCAGCGACGACGTTTTCGATTTTTCTCCTTTTTAATAATTAACCTGTGCATAACAATGACTGCAGCCTCGACTATTTCTTGGTCGTCCATTATTTTCGCCAACACAACTCTGCTGTGCGCGCACAAATGGATCACTTCATTCGTCGAGAAATAAGTTTTTAATTTGAACGGAGCCGAGAGCACGAACGAATGCCGTGCGCGCACGCTCAGCTCGTGCGTGCTCAAGTCTAAACGCACCATTAGAATACGATTCGTTCGAAAAAAAGAGATTCGAAAATTGATTGTATCTTATTACCTATTAGTTAAAAACTGTAATTTTTGTTCTAGGTTACTGTAAACTAAACTCCATGCAAGTGATAAGGAGGCTACTGAACGCCGGTTTTAAAATAGCAGCTAGCAATGGAGGTGGAGTTGAAGGACAACAGTTCTCCGAATATCTCTTTGTTAGAAAAGTACTACCTGGTTGAATCTCATTTGATTTCGCCATAGTGACGATACTTTAGATTATATTACTCTTTCCTCGGATATATACTGGTGGTCACTTTATTTCCGAGGTCTGTATTTTAATGCATACGACCAGTTAACAGACAGGGGGGCAAAATAAACACAGCGACATAAAGTGTTTCCGGTTCATACTTAAAATAACATAATAAACGTAGATAATATACTTAAGCTAATGCTCAATTCTGTTGCTTGAAAACATGGAATAAAATATCTCATACACTTTCTTTACAACTACCACAGAAGTAAATATTCATTGGTTAGTTGAGATTAGTTCAGAAATAGTGCTAGTAATCATATTCTGAGGTGTAAAGTTTTGTTCTAAAATCACGCAGTGTCACGAGGCTACACGCCATAGAATCAATAAAATTTGTACTAAATTCAAACAGCTATCAAATTTGACTTTAGTTACTAAACTAACAACTATGATTGTTTGTTTTTGTAGTTTTGCCTGTGATAGGTATAACGTACTTCTAATACCAAGCTAATACCCTTAATAAGAATTTATTACATCAGTCTACGTGGGCGGTTTGAAATTTTCATGAAAAATCCGGCAATATCGCATAGAAAAACTGTATCAACCCAACTTTTTTCTCTTTTTAATAAATTTGATATTTCGTTAAGCTGTTTCCATTGCTGTCTTACACGTTAAAATCCAGGCCACGCTTTTACGGTGACCAAATGTGTATGTTATGTAAATATTAGGTATAGGTAAAATTATTTTTATTACTAATGTTTCATAAATCCATGAAAACAGCAACGTATAGCGGTTGCAGTTGCGAATACTTTGCGGTTGCAAATACTTTGTATACTTTTATTTCTATAGCCTAATCTATGCTTTAACCAGGTTATAAAAGCAATATGAAGAAATATTTAAAAACAAAACAGATTATTTTTTCCAAAGAATAACTACATACCTTTAAATAATAATAAGACTATGTATTCAGTTTTTGCCTATCCAAATTAACTGATTTCAAAAACACAAAACTAGTTACATATTATTATTATTAGAATAATTTGTAAGTAACAATTGTGAAACTATATATGTACAACAAATATATATCTGAAAAATTTATAAAATTTTCAATAACAATTTGTCGCAAAATTTCTAGTAATTATTATAACTAACTTTTATATACATTTTTGTTCATAAACTATTATTTGATATAATTAATACTTCAAAACTTGAAAATATATACATAATGTACTATAACCTTTTTTAAATAGATTTTAACGCATTAGTAATAAACTGTGGTCTCTAATATGCTTTTATAAGGGGTTTCTAGAACTGGTTCCAATACAAAAAAACTTTTTTGTTAAAATTTCCCTAAAGAGTCCTCTTATTTGCTCACTTATAGGCTTGGTGCATTATCCACCGTTGCTCCATATTTATTATAATTGAATTTGAAAGTTTATTTGAAAATTATTAGCAGGTACAAAACAATAAAAAATATATCTTTTGATATTTTCAGAAGGTCTAACTAAATTCAAGCTAATAATACATTTTAAATGAGTAAAACACGCCGGCTGCTTCAACTACTGTAGGAAGTATAGTTTTTATGTACCGATTTTGCTTGACTAAAGCGGCGTCAAATGAAGTTAGCAGTTCTGATTTCTACCGTATCCAGCGCTGCTGTCAAAAATTTTAAAACTCAGTTGAAATGCATCAAGCCTATATGCTATTACCTACACTTTTTAGTGACATAAACATTAATATTAGTCCAAAAATAAACTAAATTTTGTATATAAATATTAGATATTTAAGAAATTCATAATGTTTGCAATTTATTAGTTTTGTATACTATTATATTTCGTGAAAATCTAAGCGAACATTGATAAAAATTATTGAAAAGAGTAAATTAAAAGTAAATTGTACATAACTGCAGCTATCTCTAAATTCCTGCCTGTGTTTATGTTAGAACACTATTAATTCAAAATAATTTATTTGCCTAATTTGAAAAACTAAATATTAGGTAAAAATATATCACATTTTCATTATTTATATTATAAGAAACACTAACTAAATCACGAATAATTTATTATGTTTGCTTTTCATTATTATGTTTGTACCAAATTTTGTCCCTAGTAATAATATGAATCTACATAAATATGTGTGTTCTAAAACATTTAATGTAAAAAAATCAAATTGATCTCATCATTCCCTCTCCTGGCTGTGATCCCTATAAAATAAGCTTAACTACTATAGCGGATCGAAAAATCTCTTGGACCTATTTCATATTAAATGAAGCCACCTATATGTGTAGTAAAATATAACAAATTGTTACTTAAGTTATATACTTGTAAAAATAAATGGTTATATAAATACTGTTGGAAGTAGTTTTTAATTTCCTTATAAATATAGTATGTTTAGTGTTCTTCAGTTTGATTTCTCTGTAGCTACGAAACAAAGCAGATTCGAACCTATGTTAACATGAAAAATAAATCTTATTTTTACGTGAAGAATCTCCACCCGAGAGATGGCACATGTTTTTTGAAACACCTTGTATAATGGAGGACGGAAAATATTATAAACAAATAGAGCCACACCAACCCTATCTGTAATCCCGCTAGCGCCGCAGCCGATCCAAAAACAAAACCTACTAAACCCGCCGACAAAAACGTTTCCCCTACCACCCATCACCCTAACAAACTCCCAATACAGAGAGAACCGCGCAGCGCCCGGGGGGCTCCGGTCGCGGCCGCGGGCCTTCGAAGCGAGGCTCGCCTTTGCCGCCCGGGGGCGCACCGAAATCCGCCCCGGGCCGCTGATACAGCAACGAAACGAGCGGGGCTCTACCGGGACCATCGAGCTGCAAAACGAGGCGAGCGACGACGAGCCACCCCCAGGCGATAGCGCTGACGGCTTGATTCAGGTTTTATATATAAAAGACAGGGTGTCCCAATGTTCCGTGAACATAGAACTACTTCCTCTGTACTTTCCTCCGACTTTCCTCTGTACAGAGTGGGTCAACTTGGACGCTTTTAAAGGGAAACACCCTTTTCTACAGGTGAAGACGAATATACCGGGTGCGTCTCAAAAGAGGCTCATCCCTATAATTTTTTTATTTTTTTCAGATAAAAAAACGAGATATGGTATGTTAGTATATAACATAATTTAGGATTGATTGACGTATTCAATTTTGTTTTTGGTCACTTCCTATTTCACCGGAAATGACTACAACTTTTGATTTTTAAATGGCACCCTCGGTATTTTTTATGTATTATTTTAATTTATTCGATAGAAAATGACATTCTGAATAGAATGACATATCATATGTCAACTTTTGACATTCTCGCTTAATAAAAAATCGTATTTTAAAATTTAATCTAGAGTGTCATGGCCGTGTTAAAAACACTATATAATTCTTAATCAAGGAGCCTTGGAAAAATAGATTTGATCGTCTAATGTTTTTAGTGTCTTGTCCTGGCCAGGTAGAAAATCCCCAAATCGTATTTTTATTCATATCTCAATTTTTTCAAATGGAACGAGAGTGGCTCATTAGCATATTTGGAAAAAGCATTTTTTTACGAATAATTTGATACCACACACTTGGTATTCGAGTCAAATTTTCGTTATAAACCGCAAGTTATAATTTCAAATAAACCATATGCAAAAATGTCAAAAGTTGACATATGATATGTCATTCTATTCAGAGTGTTATTTTCTATCGAATAAAGTAAAAAAATACCGAGGGTGCCATTTAAAAAGTTGTAGTCATTTCCGGTAAAACAGAAAAATTGATTTTTTATTTAGGACACCCTATATATTTTTAATTAACTGAAAAGGACCTAACCAAGCGAAATTCTCCAATGGCGTAGCATCAGAAATTATAGCTTGTACCCAGACGATACAAAATATTTATTAAAACGGAAACTAATATATCTTTCATTTTTAAGTAATGCATATACAATTTTGTATTTTATAGTCTCACCTTTATAATATTAGAATATCTAAGTCGATAATGCAAAATTTATTTAACAGTCACAGTGGACTGATCATCAAGACAATTATTTGTTTATTAACGTGTGTATAATGTATAATTAAATAAAAAATAATGTAAATATATATATTTTAAACGTTATATACATACCGTATGATCGAAAAAAAACGGCTTTCTGTTTGTTTGGAAATGACGATCGGTGACATTCTCCATATAATTCTACATATAAAATGACATAAAAACTATATAACGGTGGTTTTATGGCAAAAGGTACTATGTCAAAATCTTATTGCTATATTATTGTATCACAAAAAACGTGTTTTAGCCGAATTTAAAGTCAAATAGAACCATATGATTTTTATGGAGCATAGAACTATATCATATAATAGAATTGCCACATTATATGTAACAAGAGAAACGCCAAAATTTCGACATAGCACCTGTTGCCATAAAACCACCGATAAAATGACATCGAAAAAAAAAACGGCGTCAGCGAAGGCTATGAAATGAAGATCACTGTCATTTTATATGTAAAATTATATGGGGAATGTATATACGATCGTCATTTCCAAGCCAACTGGACGCCGTTTTTTTTTCGATCATACGGTATAATAATGAATCTAGCCAATCTCCTTCACACTTGCCTACAGATTCTGCTACCTTCAATCATAAGAATATCCTAATTTTCCATAAAAAAACAATTCTAGAAGCTTTGTGATATATTTTATTTATTTATTTTTAATTTTTTATTAATTACTTACTGAAAATATACCGTACGATCGAAAAAAAATGGCGTCCAGATGGCTTGGAAATGACGATCAATGACATTTCCCGTATAAATTTACATATAAAATGACAGCGATCTTCATTTCATAGCCATCGCTGACGCCGTTTTTTCTCGATCATACGGTATTATTATACACCCAAATTAGCAAAATGTTTGAAAGGATATTTTAAAAAATACAGTAACAAGTAGCCCACCACAAGTTTGTCCACCCCCAGCAAATCTTGATAGGGAATTTTAAGTTTTATATAACCATCACTATGGTATATATTTTTCATGACCAGAATTTTTCATGTTTTTTTTTATAGTTTACAATTATTTTGCATATTTGACAACAATACTTGATACATTTTTTTACATGTAAAATATATAAAAAAAATGTTTATTGCAGAAATTGTATTTCTCTGATTATAATTCCATACGCCACTGGAAAAATCCAGTCTGAATAGTATTTATTATTTATAGTTTCAAACATTAATTATAATATATAGGATATTAAAAATACTACTTGGAATTAATAAAAATAGTTTGCTTTGGATGCGGCACAGGACATATTAAAAGCATTTTACATATTTTTACTGCTATAATGAAAAAATGTACATTTTATGACTACATAAAACAAAAGTTGTGTATCAACTTTTACCTGTAAAATGTAATTCCAGCCACTTTTGAATACATACGCTGAACATCTCACCATACTAATCAACACAGTTTATAAATTTAAAGCAAAACAGTTCTCACAAAAAACATAAAAATTCGCTCAGTGTGAACTCAAAATCTTGTCACCAAAGCATGGCCACCGATCGAATTTTGGCCTCAAAAACATGATCACTGGAGAATATGCGTGGTGTCCCCTCTCTTTCCTTGTCTAAGGTAAAATAACCTCACTTAATTTTTAGGTTAAAAAATGGAAAAAAATGAAAAATTGTTAAAATAATCCCTGAAATAATGTTATGAATACCTGGTGAATACTTCCTTCATTTGAAAAATATTCAAACATTTTCCTTTTCTATTTATAAACACAGTACTTTAGTACTTTATTGTGATATCAATAATTTATAATTCAATAATTTATTACCTACATGCAGACATCAGATCTTCAGATATATTTTGGCGAAAATGTGTGCTCAATTAATGTCTCAAGTTTATAGGTCCCTTAGAAATAGTAATTTAAGAAATGTTGTTTCTTTGTTCTCACGTACTTTGCCACAAAATAATGGAGAACCAAAGTGTAGCTATTCCATTTTTCACCGATGTATTTTAAATTATTCTGAAAACTATGGCAAAAATGTTAATACAATAGTAAGCTTTAGAAGTTACGCTAAAGGAAAAGATAGAAAAAAAGAAAAAGGTTGTCTCTCAAAATGTGTTGTTCAATGAATTTTAAGTATTTTTCAGGAAAATCAAAGGTTGAAATTAATGAAAACCAAATTGGTGAACTAGTTAATGTTAATGATTTAAAAAGCCAAATGGAGAAAGCAATTATCCAATTGGAAGATGATTTTGTTAAGCATTTATCATTACGTTCTACCACAGGTATGTATTTAATGTCAATTTTAAAAGCAATATTTCATGTTGTATTGTTATTTCATGATGGATTAGGTGCAATAGAATCTATACCAGTAACTTACGATGGGAAAGAACATACACTTCAAGAATTAGCACAAATTATAAGAAAAAACCCTAAAACGATAGTAGTAAATTTTTCTAGTTTTCCTCAAGTAATACCTGATGCCTTAAAAGCAATCTCAAAATCGGGAATGAACTTAAATCCCCAACAAGATGGTACCACTTTATTCATTCCTATACCAAAGTATTATCTTAATTTTAGAAAGTTATATTATTATTAACACATTAATTTTAGGGTAACAAAAGAACATAGGGAACAGCTTTCGAAGAATGCAAAACAATTATTTGTTAAATCAAAAGATAACATTAGAGTTGTTCAACAGAAATATATAAAACAACTTAAAAGAAAAGATAAAGTTTCAGAAGATTTGATTAGGAGTGTTGAACAACAGATTATAGCTATTGGAGATCACTTTATTACAGAAGCAGAGAATTTACTCAATAGAAAACAAAATGAATTGTTAGGAGATAAATAACTATACTGTATGTGTATATTTGTATTTATAAAGACTTAATATATATTATATATTCCTTATTGTGCTATTCACTTAAAAAATTCAAAATAAAAGATATGTAATTAGTATAATATTTATTACTTAAGAAAAGCCTTACAAAATAGTTTGAATGTAGCAATAATTGAATTACCTGTGCCGTGACTACTTCAAGTATTAATAGCATTGAAGCAGTCACGGCACAATTCCAATGACATATTTAAGAAAAACAAATGAGGTTAATAAATTGAAAGTCTGCTCAATTCCAGATGAACAAAAATTCAATATACATCTGGTTGTTAGTCTGTATCCATTGCATGTTCGGCTGCCTCGATTGCTACATCTGGCATTGGATCTCTTGGCTCGTCCCCCTGGTCATCTCTATAGAAAATATAAGCAATAATAAATGATTAGACCCTAAAAAAGTATTATAAGTACCTTAAGGGTCCCTGAGGCTTTTCAGACGTAGCTCCTCTGCGCTCTTCTCCTTCAATAAGGCGCAAATAAGGAGCAGTTTCTTCTTCATCTAGAATTTTGAACTGCTGTTCTTTACCAACATAACCGATTGACACATTCTTGGTTGATAAATCAACTTCTGGAGGTAGCGTATCTCTCAATGCCCTAAAATATAGATTGCATTTTTTTCTTGGTTTTACCAAAAAATTAGCTTTACCTAAGTCCATGTTTAATTAATTCTTCAAGGCTACTATTAGAAAATTGATCTAAATGTTTTTCTAGATAAGTTCTTGCACTTTGAGAACGTGAGCCAATAGACATTGCTTTACAGTCATAATAATTAGCTGATGGACATGTTTGATATATATGAGTTCCTTTATCATCATAACCAGCTACCAAAAGCCCTACACCATATGGTCTGCGGTCATATCTTTGAGTACATACTTGCATCTTGTTGCCTAAAAATTTGTATACATATATTTTTTAAATTCTGTTTATAAACTAAAACTGTAAAACTTATAAAAACTCACCTAATGTTGTTATAAGTCTATTTAAAGGTAAATAAGTATCATGCGAATATTTATAGTTCAAACATTCAGTTCTCATATAACGACTCAAAATTCTTGCATCTGCTGTTAATCCTGATATAGTCACTCCAATGTGGTCATCAATGTTAATAACCTTTTTTTGGTACGCAGAAAGTTCCGAAGAAGCCCTTTTAAGTGCAATCAGTACTGCATATGCATTGCTTTTAAGGCCAACTGTTGCAGATCCCAAATTTACAGCTTCCATAGCATATTCAACTTGATGTAGCCGCCCTTGAGGACTCCACACTGTAACATCACTATCATATTGATTTCTAAACATCTTTAGATTTAAATAAAAAGACTGAAGACTTTTAACACCGGTTAAAACACAAATGACAAAGCGTTTAGCGTTTACGTTTTGCTGTATCACTTTGTCATTAAAGTAGGGTTATGTTAGGCTTGTTTTTCTTAGGCAAGCAAAGAGAGGGGACGGGTAACCGATCCGCGGCCATACTTTGGTGACACCGAGCGAATTTTTATGTTTTTTGTGACTATTGATTTGTTTTAAATTTATAAACTGTGTTGTTTAGTATGATGGTGAGATGTTTAGCATATGGCCAAACGTATGACTGCAAAAGCCGAAGCGAGAAAAAAGTGGCTGGCTGTGGTGGCTGGGTTTATATTTCACAGGTAAAAATCGATTCACAACATTTGTTATGTAGTCATAAAATGTACATTTATTCATTACAGCAGTAAAAATATGTAAAATGTCCTGTGCCACATCCAAAGCAAACTATTTTTATTAATTCCAAGTAGTATTTTCAATATCCTATATTATAATCAATGTTTGAAACTATAAATAATAATGCTACTCAAACTCCAATTTTGTTTTTTTCCAAGGATTTCTCCAATGGCCATTGGCGTAGGGAATTATAGTGCAAAAATAACAGGACAGTCAACATACAAACAGGACAGTCAACAGTCTTCAAAAAAAAACATTAGTTTTCACTTGTAAGTTATATTTATGTTATATATACATTAGTATAACTAATATTATGTATAAAAATTAAATACATTAAAAAATTAAATGCGTTTCTGGTATTTTTCAAGTATATATTTTGATTATTTCAAATCCTTATTATATAGTCATTACAGTGACCATAGACAATGACTCTTTATATGTACTTGTATACTTAATCACATAGTAGAAGGATACTACATAAATATATTTCAAGATTATTTCAGATATTATTTGTATATATTGTTAAATATTTTTCATTAACTATGCAATAGGTAATTATGTGTTGGGATATATTAACATATTATGTAAAATTTAGTTTAGAAAATAAATGTTTGATATTCAGTTTTTGTTTTATTCTCTGAAAAATATTGTACTTCTACAATAAATTTGAAAAATTCTTAAAATGTTAGAGATTGCATTTCTTTCTATTTTTCTTTAGTTTCCAATATTTATTTGAAGTAAGATCTAAAATTATTTTCAATAAACGAAAATAATGACTAAAACAAACTTCTTAAAATATTTATAGTAAGCTTTTATATACAAAATTCCTATGATAGAAGTATACTATAACACTTATTTTTTTTTATTGATATAATACCGCACTGTATTACAACTAATACATAATACAATGAATTTTAATATCATTAGGTTTAGGGATTATAATAATATATTTTGCATTACCCACTCTAGTATAATCATTACTTTTTGACTTTCCCCTTTTATAGATGTTCTGTAGACCATCTATAGACCTCATGAACATGGCGGCCATGAGGATCTTCTAGCCTCCATAGGATCTTCATTTCTGCGCACCTTTTCAAGCTCATTCTCCTATCTCTATATGAACTATGATCTATGGCTAGTTGGCTAGATTCTAACCATAATTCTAACCTCATATTTGGTTAAAAAATAAATAAATTTTAATGAAGTAATCTCAACTCAAATATTTGGCCGAATATCCGTACTTAAATCGTTAAAACATTAATAATTGTAGAATATATTAATATCAAATTTACATCACCAACATTGATCGACAATCACCAAATTTTGTATTTTTCAACTGAAAATGGAAAATAGGTAAATAAATAGCCTCAATAATGTTCAAAATTATGCCAAAAATGTTATAAACATCTTTTTCAATAATTTTCTACAGTATGGATCAAGAAAAAAAAGTGTCTTATTTTGATCAAATTTCCATGATAATGTATGGACTGGGAGACAGTCGTGATAGAAATCCTGAAACTGTTCGTTTAGTGGAAAGTATAGTTTTAAAACAACTTCAAGCAATTGTGGAAGAGGCATTAAAATACTCCGATGGTGTAACACTTAATGGTGAAAATTTAGTTTTTTTATTGAGGCATAACAAAACAAAAATGCAGAGATTTGTAAGGTAGTAAAACCGATAGAAAATATACTTATTTTTTAACAGAACTGAAGTAATGTCGTTAAAATCTGATTAACTTTAAAATTTCTTCTCAGATATATTTTCAATAAAATATCAGCTAAGAAATTAAGGGCCCAAAGCAACCTCGACTCTGATGTCATTGAATCTAACTGTGATGTTCCTCCTAAAAATAATTTGTTAGACTTTATAGAAAGAATTGATGAAACTGGAGAATTTACAGATCTTTCTGCAGTGGATGATGTTAAAAAAGACCGTGAAATTAGGGCGGCTTTTATTTCAAAAGAATTAGATGATAAGGCATATTTAGATTTTCAGAAAGCAAGGTGAAGGACAAATTTTTACTCTTAAAAGCAGCAATATAGTTCCTTGTTAAATGTTTCAGATGCGCATCATTCAAAGAAGTAGGAAGTGGATTCAAGAATTTGAAATTATGGGTTCATCCAAAAGAAACCATTAAATTCACATTAGATGCACTGGATGTTCTTTCATATTTTGCTTATCAAACAGTAGCAGAAATTGTTGATTATGCATTATTAATTCGCGGAGATATTAGAACAGGTATATTGGCAAATATTCTCATATTTTTTATATTTTAATTTGTATTTGCAAAAATTGTGCAATTATTTTGAAAATATAACGTTTGAAAAGTATATAAAATGTAACTAACATTGGGCAAATTTTCAATTTACAAGTTTATCCAACTAATAGTAATGATAATATAATTATATTATATAAATTTATATTATAAATAAATTATAATATATAAGTTTCGATTCTACTGTGTCCCGATTCTGCTTTGTTTTGTAGCTATGCACTGGGAGTTAAATTCCTCATTTTTTTCGATTTACATATCTAATTATTAATTTGTCTTTCAAATAGTGTTTCAAATATTTCTTTGTCTGTTTATAGTTAATTACTTAAGTCTGAGGTTAGTACATATTTAATAAGTACCTCTGTAATTAATAGGTAATGATCCACTTAAAATTACACCTGGGTCTTATTACACATCAACTATGTTTAATGGATCACATAGAGATGATAAAAATGCTGATTCCAGTCATGTAAGTAGAAATTCCATGGTTACTTCTCTATGTTCTATATGTATGCCTTTAATCAGATTTATAGCAATCAGCCGCCTATTACTGTTAGTGAAATATTAGAAGTAATGAGAAGGGTCCACAATCCACAAACTGGAAAGCTTAATTTTGGTGGGAAGGTACCAGAAACCCATTTTCTTTTTGCATTATAAAGTTTTCTACTGGATTGTTTGTTTATTTATTAATTTGATATTCCTGTCTTTATGTTGATTCATATTTTGTAATATAGTTGTTCTTTTTTAATGCATATTTTTGTAGTTAGATTTAGCAAAGTAAAAAAATATATAAAGGCGGATATTGACTTGAGCCAAGCGCTGTAATATCACGCTTGTTCGCTGCTTTCGACGAGTGCTGTGTCGAAAAAAAAATAAAAAAATAAATCGCAAAAGTTTTGTATTTTATCATTTCAAGAGATGATCATGAAAAAAATGTTTTTTTTGCTCAAAAATCGATTTTTAATTTTATCCGATGTGCGGTACTGTTTAAAAAAATTTCCCAAGCTCATAATTTCATCGAAAATTGAATGAGGAATTAAAAAAAAATAGTTTCATATTTTTACTGTTATCGTAACATGGTTAAAAATTAAAATTAAGAATAAAACCTCGTTTTTTTTAGATTCTTGCGGACAAATATAGCTCTTATTTTTTTTTCCAAAAAGCTACCATCATGCACCAAAACATATCCGGTCGCTAGATCATTCGATTCACAAGACGCTGAGAATAACAATTTTTACTGATTTTGAGTATTTTTCGATTTTTTCAGACAGGGTTATAGATAAAAATCTGAAACTTGCTGTATCTAAGTATTTTATGGGTACAAATATTTCCTGAAATTATGAACCCGATTCCTTTCTGGGGCCGATTCGGTATTTTTATCGTCCCAGGGCCTTTATAATTTTATAAATAGAATACAGTATATTGCATATAAGAAACTTAATTTCATATAAGGTCTTGTATTAAATACCTAATATTAGAAACTGTAAAAACAGCATTGTGAAGCAAAAAAATACCATAATACCTATAATATTTATATAATGCTCGGTCACAGTTAAAGACTCAAATCCTCCAGGTTTAATACTTTTTTGAGCCACCCTGTGGAAGTTAAAATATTTTTCTGAAATACATTCTAGTAGGTACATACTTTAGGTTTGCGCTTAAACAGAATTCGCAAGGTTTTTTATTCTAGGAGCTACAAATGTCCGACGCACTTTTGCCGGACCCTGTAGAACTAAAAAATCTATAAAGAAAATAATTATTATTCTATTAACTATTAACTAACTATTAAAAGTTCTTACACTGGAGCTGCAGACCCTGGGAGGGATTGCTTTGACTTACGTAGCTTAGGAGAGGTAAGTACAAATATATTAAAACATAATCTTTGTACAGGGTGTCCCATTTTAGTTGAAATCATACGGTATCTCCGTTATTAGTGAAGGGTGCGGTTTGCACGAACCTGTCCCGCTTTTTTGTCAAACGGATGATGTAAACAAAAATTTCATAGACCTCTTCGTTTCTGAGCTACAGGGTCTTTTTGAAAATTTTGCAATTTGGGACACCCCCCCCAACCCCCCCAACCAAACCCTCCCAACAAGCAATATTTATTGCTGGAACATTGCCAAAACTTCGCAAAGCAAGGTGTAACATTACTTTTTTCATTGTAGGGAGGTTTATGCAAGGTTTCAGGGTAGCTTAATCTTCCGCCAAATAACATTGCAGTGCAAGGTTGCATTTCCCAATATTATTGAAACGTTGCTAATGTAACGTTCAAGAAAGTACTAATTTGGGATTTATTAGCAATATTGTTAATTTTACGTCAATACAATATTGGTAAAATTATATTATTAATTATAATTAACTGACTTATTGCTAAAATAATATAGCAAAAAATAGATAATGTTTGCATTAAAAAACCATTTCATTCATCAGAGGGAAAATATAACAATTATTTTTTAATATTTACTTATCAATTAATGAAACAGTTTTTTCTTGCGAACATTAGCAATTTTATGTTAACAATAATACATCAGTAATAGGTTATAATCAACATTAATGGGTATTAAATTGTAGACTTTCAGATAGGTATAATATACTTTTACTAATATTGTATTGAAGAAAAACATAAACAATATTGATAAAAATATGTAGGTATATCTCTATATCCATTGACCTAGAAAAATTAAAAATGCTTGGTAAATATATCCCTACCAAGAAAGTCGAATTTGTCAAACAAATTGAAAAAAAAACAAATAAAAATTAGAAATTTATCACTTACTTGTTTCAAAAATATCAAAAATACTGTCAAGTACTGAGAACTTATCTTTTCGGCTGCTCACTAAATAAGGAATTACTCAGCTCTGACCTCCGAGTCGAATTTCTAAAAAAAATCTTAAAGTTGAATGTCTGAAATAATACAAAATATATAGGTACAGTATAAACATTATTTTATATTTCTTATTCCAAAATACAAAAGGAAAGTATAACATTAAATGTATGTAGAAGGAAAAGCAAACTTATATTTTAATTGATTTTTTGGATCTTTCATATTTTGTCTTCGCATGTTGAATTGTCTTATTCATGGTTTCAAATTCCTCTTCGGTAAAGTTTTGAAATCTATATCCAATCATTTCTAAAGTACTAAAAATAAAAACAATCAGTTGTAATAAATAAAACAATGAGAAACTTACCTCTTGTGACAGTAATCTTTGAGGCCCCTTTATGTCCTTATTTTAAAAATTTCAAATGATTATAACATTATTAAAAAAATATTATTGAGAATAATTAATACTGAATATTATTTGTGATTTTATTATTAGATTGATATACTGGTATCCTGATTTTATCTACTTCAATTTTCAGTTGGCTAAAAGCTAACCTAAATCATAAAATTTAGCTTAAAAACAAACTAAACTAAACAAAATTTGTTATACTTATTCATGGCTATATTATTAAAACACACATAATAATAAAATTATACTTACATTTACATTCATTAAAATCTCATTCGAAAAGCATAAAATGTTACCAGAAACGTAAAAAAACAAGTGCGTGTAACCTAACCCAACTTCTTATACCGTATGATCGAAAAAAAAGACGTCAGCGATGGCTATGAAAAGAAAATCGCTGTAATTTTATATGGGGAATGTCATCGATATTCATTTCTAAACCAACTTGACGCCGTTTTTTTTCGATCATATGGTATATTTGTTATATTATTAAATAATATTAACTTGCGCGGATCTTTCATTTGAATCTTTGTTGCAATGTTGAAGAAAAAACGTTTTAATCACTATTCAAAAACAATGTTTCTGTAGCCAGGTTTCATCAATCACGACACAACGTTTAGAAATCAACATTACAAAGCAAACTGTTTGGGGATTGACTGCCATGTTGCAAATGTAATATGAGGTGTTTTGCTTGGTGGGCTGTATATTTGTTACTGTTAAAGGCTGGTTAAAGGTACCGAGAAGGTAAAAACTGTTTATTGTAGAACTTTTTACGTAGAATACAGTGGCGTAGTCTGTTATTCTACGAAAAAAATATTTTTAAAGATACGAAGTAAAGTTATGTTTTCTTAAATGGGACACCCTGTATATGTATTTATAAATTATATGATCTGGCTTACCATAAACTTCTCAAAAATATATATCACTCTATATTTATTTTCACTATTTACTGCAATATTTAAAAGTTTTTCTTAAAAGATCATATTTATTAGTAGGCCTTGATTGATAAAATAAACTAAAGAATTATTAAAAGTATATGTACTGCTGTCTGTCTCTTGTTTTATTTTGAGAGCAACTAATAAATTCTTTATATATTAGGAAAACTTAATAACTCTCTACGGCTATGTGTAAATCTTGGAAGCTATCGTACCCGAACTTTTAGATATACCTTTAGCTAACTTACGTGAAATACACTTTCAGCAAGATGGGGCTCCCCATCCAATTTAGAAAATATTAGAATTTTGTTAAGTTATTATTTCTCACATCAGTGAATTGGAACCAATGGACCCATATGATTGCCTCCCTGATTCCCGGATTTGTCCGTTCTCTATTTCTGATTTTGGGGAATTTTGAAATATGAAATATATCGTGGCAACTAAAACAATGTCGAATACCTGGAAAATGTTTGCATTATTTGCAAGCTTTTAGATAGTTGCAAACCCATTCCGTTATAATAAATACCGTTAATAAAATAAGTTCAGAGATTCAGTGGTTAACAGTTCAAAAGTAAAATATATCAAAATATATAATTTTGATTTTTTTTTGTTATTTATCACGGAATAAGAAAATGATATATTTTAAATAATTGCAGTAAATAGTGAAAATAAATATAGAGTGGTATATATTTTTGAGAGGCTCATAATAAGGCGGATCATATGATTTATAAATATACAGGGTGTTCCATTTTAAAAAACATAACTTTAGTTCATATTTTCAAAAATATTTTTTTCGTAGAAAAACAGTCTACGCCACTGTAATCTACGTAAAAAGTTTTACAAGAATCAGTTTTCACCTTCTCTTTACTAATAAGGGAGATACAGTATCATTTCAACCAAAATGGAACACCCTGTACTCTTAAAACCCCGTGTTTTAATATCTTTGGGTAAGTAATAAGTGGCGATCATTACAAGTGTTTTTGAATACCTGAATCAGAATTTATTGTAATTTACCGTATGATCGAAAAAAGCGGCGTCCAGTTCCGCATATGATTTCACATCAAAATCAAACAGCGATCTTAGCATATTTCATAGCCACGCCAATCGTTTTTTTTTCGATCATATTGTATCATAATTCCAATATCGTGTAACTCCATACACCTTATAAAGTATGGAAAAACTTGCTACTCATGGTATTTAATATCTACCATTTTTCATAATTATCTGCTGCAAGTTTCGTGCTGAGAACATCGAAAGTTTAAAAGTGCCCTTGACATGAACGAAAGTAGCAGGGCGCCACCCAAATTTTAAAACTCATTGGATTATTTATAAACACAAAACCATCCGATAAGGGTATAAAAGGGCTAGGTCGATGGGTAATTTTGTTATGAATCCAATAATTCCATGTAATCTAATGCCGTAGTCAATATAATGTATGTTGCAGAGGTATATACTGGCCGTGTTAAGAAAAAAATCTTAACTACGAATGAGCTGCAAATGTGTAATTAATAAGGTATCCCATATAACACACAATATCCGCAGGATATTCATAGAATGTCGGAATGTCCCATTATAAGATCATCTTATAAAGACATCTATAGGATATCCTCCAGACATCCTGAACTCCTGTAAGTAGATGTCTCAGAATAGAATATCCTATGGATATCTCTGTCGTATATCTAATGTACATCCAGCTGAGATATCCAAACATGCTCATGATAATAAAATATCCTAACAATATCGTCTAGATATTTAGGAAAAATAAATAATGTACTACTTTTTATATTACCTAAAATGCAATAAACCATACAGATAGATATATATATATTACGTCAAGGCAACAAAATATCCTGTTGGTATCTTCTGGATAATCTGGATATTTATGAGCTTGGCCACTCCCAGTAATACAGAGAATTTAAAACGCCCGCGCAAAAAATTTCCCACAATCCATCTCGACAGTCGTTTGTTTTTACCATAACGTTTTTACATCCTGTATTATATTCAGTTCTTTGATTTAGTGAAATTCGAGGTGAATTAGGTCGTTTGTCGATATTGGATAGACTTAAAAATGACTGAAACCACAGAATATCTAGCTACCCTCAGGGTCTCAGGATGCAGCCACACTATCCTAAAAACGGCGTATCGGCGTAACGGCGTAATGACCTTGAATATATTTCCAGTAATTCTATTGGCTGAAACATTCATCTGTCAGAAATTTTATCTGTCAAATTCATCTGTCAAAAATTTCAGCCAATAGAATTACTGGAAATCGTTTCAAGGTCGTTACGCCGTTACGCCGATACGCCGTTTTTAGGATAGTGTGGCTGCACCCTCACAATGAAAAATTTGTGACAAAATTATAGGTGAAAATTTGTTGAAAAGCGCTTGTTCTTTATCCCTAAACCCATTTTCGTGTTTGATGTATTCAAACAGAACTCCTATTTTAGTGTTTAAATTGTGAGTTTCTGGAATGTGTGGTGCTAGAAATTATACCTGTATCCTGTGTGCTAACTGTGATGTAAACTGTTGCTGCTAAACATAAACTGCTAGACTCCATAAAGGGTAGTATAATCTGGTATAATACCATACGATCGAAAAAAAACGGCGTTTGAGGTGGCTTGGAAATGAAGATTGCTGTTATTTTGTATGTAAAATTATATGGGGAATGTCATCGATCGTAATTTTCAAGCCAATTGAACGCCGTTTTTTTTTTCGATGGTACAGTATAAATTGAAAGCTCTTAACTCATACAAATAAACTTCTAAATTTTGACGCAAAATTCATTGACATAATATGTAGGTATATTTTAGAGCTGTTAATAAAAATATCCAATGAATAACGTCAAAATGTGGCTAAATATAACCAAATCGTGAACGTTTTTACTATAAACTAAGGTTAAAGTCAGTATTGTCAAATAACAGTCCTCATATAATATTCTATAATGCTCCCAACATCATCCTTGTATTATCCTATAAATATCCCAAATAATCGTAAAAGGCTTGCCTAGGGATGTCTTGAAGATGACTTTTTTTGTCCCATCTGGATATCCCATAAATATCCTTCTCTGGTTTTTGGATATCCCTAAGATATTTACTATATCCTTGGTGGATATCTTCAAGATATCTATAGGATTGTGTTGTGTTATATTGGATTGGTATTTTCCAACTAAATTAAAAGCAAAAACACTTTCCTTTGCTTTATTTTCGAAATTATAATGAAATATAGTTTAAATCGGACGGTTAAATTATAAAAGTGCTTTATTTATAAATATTAACAAACAAGAACTTAACTTTTTCAACGTGTCATAGGTATACGGTTTTTTAACTTTTTTTAAATGGTTTTTACCTTTCCATTTATAGTACGAGACCTAGCAACGTCGGAAAAACAAGTATTTTAAGACGTCTGACTCTTTGATATATCTTTTACTATGCTCTCTAGAACAGCATGCGGCCCGTCTGGCTGCCGGTAAACGTTGCGTTCTCTACTGCGCATTGAAAGAAGATCCTATATTTTTATTAGTCCTTTAAATTCTAGTATTGAATATTAATCGAACATGTCTCCATAGCGCAGTGTGTAGAGTTTCCGACCACGAACCGATGATTTGTTTTTTTTAATTACCAGAATTATTTAATACTTTACTCTCAGAATAAAAACGAAAATAAAATAAAAAAGTCTTTAACCTGACCCGGATTCGAACTCTACGCACTGCGCTATGGAGACATGTTCGATTTATGTTCAATACTAGAATTTATAGGATATTCTAGACGAAAGCACAACTTTAACGCCTCTTCAAAAAAATATAATACTACAATTTTCCATAAAATGATCTGGTGATATAATACTTGATCTTTTCAAAATTTACGTGGGATTTCGTATATCCCGTGTTGCTATGCACCACATGGTATTTTAACGAAAAGTAGATAACGTAAAATACAGTGACTTGAGTCAATAACGTTTTTTACTAACTTATTAGTATTTGCACCACTGTTATATTACTGTGCCATGATACGGTTCAATACATCAATTTGACCAACGCAACGTGCCAATAATGCATTACTTAAATTAATCCCTTCTAATATCTCTTCTGTAATATAATGAAAATTTTCTTCAACAATATGGTATGTTTGTCAGGTTTGAGGGTCTGCTTAGAACTGTTCTAGTAAGATTTGTTTATACATAAGGAAATATAAAATAGTAGAATTAGTAAAGGTTATCTATAAATATAAAATAATATAATATTAATACCATACGATAGAAAAAAATGGCGTCAAAGATGGCTGGGGAATGACAATCGATAGCAATTTTGACGAGGTCAAGCCCTAGACGATATTTACTTGGCTCGTACTCTTCTTTATTTTTTCTGTCAAATAAAGTGGGGAAAATTTATTCATCATTTTTAAAATTTACAT